CATATTGAGCGTTGCATTTTTCCCCATTCAAAACTATACGAGTGACACGTCTTGGGTATTCTATAGTCTTTGACAAAACGGAGCAAATTGTCCCAAAGCATTCACCCCCAATCTCAATGAAGACAAAAACGTTTGTTTTCTGGTTGTCATACTCTCATTAAGTTAAAAAAGATTAATATCATCTTGTACTTTAGCAAGGTATCTCTGGCTAAAACTAGCTAACGTTAAAGTTAGTGAGTCCATACAAACCTAAATAGCGGACTGTTCTCGCGTCTTGTACAGTGTAGGGCAAAAACACATAAACGAAGGTCTACATTTCACTGTCTCTTCATATTCAACCGGTTAAATGTAAATTAATTTAATCGTACCCTGCGATACATGAACATTGTTGATCCGGGATGTTGTCATCTGCGATCGTGACGACCATAACATGAGACTTCTCCTGTTTTTATTGTGATCTGTAAACCATCGCTTCCAAATTAATACCCACAATATTTATTTTAAAATCTTTTATATATTCCTCCATGGCATATTTAAGTCCCACTTGAATGGTGGTCCTTCTGTGTCCAAAATTTATCAAAAATATATAGGGACAAGGTTTTCACACTGACAGCTGCCATTGTAAGACAGTTAGCAACTCCGAGTTTGTCCGAGTTCGCAACAGTAACTAATGGGGGCGGGGCTTACCGATAGGCCAATTGTGAGTTTATATCTTGTAATTCTGACTTTTTTTTCTCAGAATTATGAGATATAAACTCGCAATTGCGAGTTATAAAGTCCAATTTTGAGGGGGAAAAAAGACTGGTGTTCTCAGAATAGCGAGTTTATATCTCTCAATTCTGACTTTTTTTGTCTTATAAAGTCAAAAAAAAAAAAAAAAAAAGTCAATTTCGAGATAAACTCGCAAGTCAGAATTGTGAGATAAAAAGTCGCAATTTCCTTTTACATTTTTTTATTCAGTGGCAGAAACAGACTTCTATGGAAGCCCGTTTCTGCCACTGAATAAAAAATAAAAGAGGTAATTGCGACTTTTTATCTCACAATTCTGACTTTTTTTCTCAGAATTGCGTGATATAATCTCGCAATTGCGAGACATAAAGTCAGAACTGCGAGATATAAGCTCACAATTCTGACTTTTTTTCTCTTGCAATTCAGACTTTTTTTTCTCAGAATTGCGTGATATAAACTCAGGTTTATATATACTCAGGTAAGTATTTGCTATTGACTGTTCAAATGCGGAGTTTTGCGCAGCGCAGAGTAACGCGTCATGTGTGTGTGTGTGTGTGTGTGTGTGTGAGGGGAACAGGGTCACATCACAGGAGAGCGAAGTGCTTGTCAAAGGAGGGGGCTTTGTTGAAAACGACGTGTTTGAGAGAGGCGGGGCATAGATGACCTACAATAATGTACAGTATTTGAAAAATAATGTGTTTTTTGAACATTAAAGCATGTCAACATATTCTGTTACACCAAATACACAAAATAATGATCTTTAAAATAGCATCATATGACCCCTTTAAAGTACTAAATTACCACACCTTAAAAAAATGTTACAAATATGAAATATATTTCTTATTTCAAACCTAATAAAAATGACAAAAGCACATAACAAAATTACTAAAATGTAAACTAAAATAAAAATAAAATAAAATAAATTGTATTAATGAATATTATAATAGTAAATAAATATTACTGGAACAACACATATGTTTGTGTGTTTTGTTATAATATTTGAAACGTTGTTTGTTTGTATAATTTAAATATAAATAAATGTGAATATAAATGTTTTTATGTAGTTAAATGTTTTATGATTTCTTTTTTTTAAAAGACTCTAGAAAGTAAACTGTAAAAAAATACATAATTTAAAATGTAACCTTTTCCTGTTTAAAATGAACAAAAATTAAATGACTGAGTACATTGTAAAACCATTTTCTATCCTGTGTTTTTGCTTTACACTAAATCACTGTGGTAAGCCATAATTATTTATATTTTAGAGTTCTCGGGACAGATTTCCTGGGAAACGGTATACTTTCATCATTTGTTTGCGCATGTTGCGTCACAGGTGAGGCTGCTACAATATGCATATACGGGAAAGCGAGAGTACACGATACAAAACACAAATAGTAATTGTAAGGTTTGCAAACTTTTATAATTCTCAGCCGCTTTAGTCTCTTTGGTAGGGACAACTCTACGTCGCTCTATGTTAGTGGTGAATTCTCACACCTCACACCTGATAACCCCCTTTTTTACTCCCTTGCTCTTTTTTTTTGTGTGTGTGCATTTTTTATTTTATTTTCTCTGGTGATTAGTGCTTGTTCCTGTTGTGGTGCATGGCTCCGGTCTCCTGGAATGGTTCGCAGATACTGTACAGGCATGTGGTTCGGCCATGTTTCCTGAAGCATGAAGCCAGAGTAGATGAGATGGTCAACAATATAGGAGGGAAGGCCATTTCAGCAGCTGAGAACGCCACGAGAGAGGGTATGCAACATAAGAGCCGATTCAAAACACCATTCTTTTCCAGAATATTTGATCTTATTCACCAGTAAACCTCATAATCAAATAACGAAATAATCTGAAGATAAGAAAATGTTGAATAGATATTATAACTGACACAATCGGCCATGAAATAATTGTGAAACATCTGCATTTTCAGATCACACCTAATAAAAGCTTTAGTCACACATGCAGAAATCAATAATAATAAAATGACATTCTTTGAAATGTAAAATATCAATTGAAATAAAATTCAATTTTTATGCCACTGCTCAGATTGGTCTGCACTGTATTTCATCACATAACACATGGATTAATGCTGTTCCGTGAGGTCACAGAGATTCCAGCAAGTAGACAAATACCAAGGTTACATTCTAAATATAGGGACTGAGAAACAAACCGATTTAGACAGATCAATCCATCACCAAGATCCATTTAATACATTACGTAATATGATATAATATTTATTTAACAGCATCATAAATGTAATGGAGAATTGTTTATTCACACTGCAAAACTTAAAGAGTTTCAATTTAAATGTAAAATAAGCAGATTGATGTCAGCTCATTATTTGTATATATGAATATAAATGTTCTAATCATTGTCAGAATTTGTATCAACTGTTCCAAGTTGGCACTTGTTCTATCCATTATTCTCTGTGTTGCAGTTCTTCAGACTCTGGTGAGAAACCGGACTATTGGCCCAGCTGAGCCTGAAGCCAGAAGACTGCCCAGTTCTGCTCCTGTATGTCATCATAATGCTAATAAACCCACATTTGACAAGCCATGCAGTTTTCTGTTCTTTGATTTTCTGCATATTAATCTATCTCTGTGTGCTGTCTCTTCTTGCATGTGTCTGACTGTAGGCTGAACCCACAGTTGATTAAACGGTACGTTTTCAGTGTGTGTATGAGGTGGGAGGTATTTGTCTTAAAAGTTTTACATTTTATATGTTTTATATATATATATAT